TTGTTCATGACTGGTTTCTCTGGTTCATCATATTTCATTGTCAGTTTCTTCGTCGTGTCATATATCTGTCTCATATTTCCTTATCTTGCAGCTTTTTCCTCCATCGTTACCAGCCGTTCCACGTATTTCCGGTTGTCGGCTCTAAGGCTCTATTTCGTTTGTTTGTTTGCTCCAGTGTAATAAGCTTGTGCCTTCACTTTCTGTTCTTGTTCAACTGTTATTAATTGCTGTCTTCTTGTTCTCCCTTTCTTGAATCCAAAACAAATTTTCCATAAAGATCCATTCCTCAGGATGATGCTTCTTGCGACCCACAACCGTCTGACACGCTGGCGTTAATACTTGTTTGATCCCTTCCCAGTTGTCCTCCATTTTAGTTTGTTCTTCTTTCAGTAGATCTTATAAGGCTTGGAACCTGTTGTTGCGAGTTAACATGAATTCGGTGAGTTTGTCAGTATCTGGATTGAAGGCTGTATTGAAACTTTGTACTGCTGCTTCCCCAGCCGTCCAGTGTTTCTTTAGCTTTAGTTTCATCTTGACCACAACTAGGTGGTGATCTGATCCATGTCAGCCCCCTTCCTAGTTCTCACGTCTTCGATTGTCCTTGTGAATTGTTTATTGATACAAATATGATCTATGTGATTATTCGTGGTGTGATCCAGTGAGACCCATGTAGATTTGTGTATGCGTTTGTATGGGAATGTTGTGCCACCTATAACCAATTTGTTGAATATGTAGAATTATGGTCTATAATGATATTAGTACTGCTCTAATAATAGACCTAATCCTAAAATGGTAGATTTTTCATTATATAACTGCCTAATCTATAAAATCTTACGTGGAGGTCACATCATCGTCTACACCAACTCACTGTATCGTAACAGTTACCGATACACGGTAGAGAGCAAGCTTAGGCTAGAGAAAGAACAAAATGAATAAGAGATATAAGGCAACATTCCGCAGGGACGACGCCTGCATGGCCGAGCCTTGCCATCCGATCAACTCCTATTTATTCAACCCATTGTTCCCGCCTTTTTCATCGTAAGGTGTTTTTGAATATCTATTTTTCGAGTAGTCTCGTGTTCAGCTTTGAGGATTGTGTGGTTATGGTCCAATCCCACTACAAATGCACACAGGTTTGCAAGTCTCTTCCGATTTTCATTTCTCCCTACCAATCCATGTCGTCACATGATATCTTCATACCCGGTGTTGTCCATTCCGACTTTGGCTTTCAAGTCTTCGATCAGGATATTGAGATCCTTTCTTGGACACTTCTCTGTAATTGATTGAAGCCCCTCATAGATCTGATCTTTAATGTCGTCGTTGCTATTATTGGTGCGTTCATAATACTGGACAACATTCAACGTGATTCCCTCCTTGCTTGTTTTGAAGGATGCTTTGGTGATACTGGATCAGTAGAATTCCCATCCTATAAGTGCAGTACGTGCTTGTTTGGACAGCATCAGAGCAAGTCATTGAGCGTGTGGAGCATTTTCCTCTTCGTGATCAGAGTATAGCAGCAACTCCCGTATCTAGCCCTCGCTTTCCAACTTGGGTCCTATGGGTTTCGCTGTTTCTCAGTACTACTAATTTGTATCTCCTCATTTCCGTTGCTATTTGACTGGTCTCCCGGTATCCCACATTGTGCGGACGTTCCAAGCACATATAAAAATTGTTACTCTGGTTGTTAGAAGGGGCATCGGCTTCGTGGCTTCCGAAGGAACTTGGCTTTCACCAAGAAGCGTTACAATTCTTTATTCCGCTCCTAGGGCAGAGTTTCAATGGTTGAATTTGTTTAACCTGGTTCACGTTCTTTTGGAAAGATTTTTTTCATGCGATGGTGTTGTCGATCCCATGTCTATTTCCATTTCTCGGCGTAATGTGTTCTTTGGTCTTCCTCTTTTCCTTTGGCCTTGAGGATTCCATGTGAGGGCTTGTCTTGTGACGCAGTTGGGTGCTTTCCTCAATGTGTGTCCTATCCACTCCCAGCGCTTCTTCCTAATTTCTTCCTTCGTTGGGATCTGGTTTGTTCTCTCCCACAGTACGTTGTTGCTAATAGTGTCTGGCCAACGGATCTGAAGTATTTTGCGTAGACAATTGTTGATAAACACCCCATACAGTAGAACTGTCTTGACATTTGTATTGAAAATCCTGACTTTGGTGTTGGTTGACAGTTGCTTTGAGTTCCAGATATTCCTCAGTTGTAAATATGCTGCTCTTGCTTTGCCGATCCGCGCCTTCACATCTGCATCAGATCCACCCTGTTCATCAATGATGCTGCCCAAATATGTAAAGGTTTTTACATCTTCCAAATCTTCTCCGTCAATTGTGACTGGATTGGTGCATTCTGTGTTGTATCGGAGAATCCTGCTATTCCCTTTGTGTATATTGAGACCTACTGCTGCTGAGGCTGCTGCCACACTGTTCGTCTTCTCCTGCATCTGTTGTTGCGTTTGGGATAGAAGGGCCAGATCATCTGCGAAGTCTAGATCGTCCAACTGCATCCTAGATGTCCATTGTATCCCGTGCTTCCCTTCAGACGTTGACGTCTTCATGATCCAGTCGATCACCAGGAGAAAGAGAAAGGGTGAGAGTAAGCAACCTTGCCTAACACCGGTCTTCACTTCGAACGACTTTGTCAACTGTCCTCCATGCACGATTTTGCAGTGTAATCCATCATATGAATTCTGTATGATATTGACTATCTTCTGAGGCACGCCGTAGTGTCGAAGAAGTTTCCATAGTGTTGTTCTGTCCACGCTATCAAATGCCTTTTCGTAGTCAATGGAGTGATGAATTCCATTCAATTGATTGTTCCACAATGATCCGTAGAGTTGCGATTTGGTCTGTACACGATCTATCCTTACGGAATCCTGCCTGTTGGTCACGAAGTTGGGCGTCTACGCAGTCCTTCATCCTGTTTAACAATACCCTGTTGAAGACTTTTCCCGGTATTGAGAGAAGAGTGATGCCCCTGTAGTTATCACAGTTGCTGAGATCGCCTTTCTTCGGTATTTTGATCAGAAGTCCTTCTTTCCAGTCTTTTGGTACTTGTTCCTCATCCCAAATCTTATTGAAGAGAATGTGGAGTATCCTTGCAGTTGCCGCTACGTCTGCTTTTAGTGCCTCTGCTGGGATGTTGTCCGGTCCTGCTGCTTTGCCACTCTTGATTTGTCTGATGGCCATGCTGATTTCTTCAATTGTTGGTGGGCCAACATTGATTGGGAGGTCCGTGGGTGCTGCTTCGATGTTGGGTGGGTTCAGTGGAGCTGGTCGATTCAAGAGTTCTTTGAAGTGTTCTACCCACCTGTTTTGTTGTTCTTCAATGTTGGTGATTACCTTGCCTTCCTTGCTTTTCACTGGTCGTTCTGGTTTGCGGCGATTTCCAGAGAGTTTCTTTGTCGTGTCATACAGTTGTCTCATGTTTCCTTCTCTTGCAGCCTTTTCCGCCGTCGTTGCTAAATCTTCCACATATTTACGTTTGTCGGTTCTGATGCTCCTCTTCACTTGTTTGTTTACTTCTGTGTATTCAGCTTGTGCCTTGGCTTTTTCTGCTCTTGTTCGACTGGTATTGATTGCTGCCTTCTTGTTCCTCCTTTCTTGAATCTTATCCAGTGTATCAACAGTGATCCATTCCTTGTGATGGTGCTTCTTGTGACCCAGGACCTCATGACATGTTGAAGTGATTGCCTCTTTGATCCCCTTCCAGTTGCTCTCCACAGTAGTTCCTTCTCCATTGAGTAGATCATGAAAGGCCTGGAACTTGTTGCTGAGGACTATCTTGAATTTGTTGAGTTTGTTAGTATCCTGAAGAAAGGCCGTATTGAACTTTTGTGATATTGTCCGCCCCGTTGTCCAGTGCTTCTTGAGTTTCAATTTCATCTTGGCGACCAGCAAGTGATGATCTGATGCTATATCAGCTCCTCTCTTGGTTCTCACGTCCTCTATAGTCCTCCTGAACGTTTTGTTGATGCAAATATGGTCGATTTGGTTTTGTGTGGTGTGATCCGGTGAAGTCCATGTGGTTTTGTGTATGCGTTTATGTGGGAATATGGTGCCGCCTATGACCAGCTTATTGAAGGCACATAGATTTGCAAATCTCTCACCATTTTCGTTTCTTTCTCCCAGTCCGTGTCGTCCCATGATGTCTTCATATCCAGTGTTGTCCGTTCCAACCTTGGCGTTGAAATCTCCCATCAGAATGGTCAGGTCCTTTGTTGGGCACTTCTCGACGATTGACTGCAGCCTATTGTAGAATTGATCTTTAGCGTCTTCATTGTAGTCGTTGGTAGGCGCATAGCATTGGATGATGTTCATTGAAATACCCTCTTTCTTTGTTTTGAACGAGGCTTTGATGATCCTTGGTCCATGAGATTCCCATCCTATAAGTGCATTTTGCGCTTGTTTGGACAGCATCAATGCAACTCCTTGTGTATGTGGTGCATTTTCTTCTTCATGGCCGGAGTATAACAGGAGCTCTCCTGTAGTTAGTCGTTGTTGTCCAACTTGTGTCCAATGTGTTTCACTGATCCCAAGTACCTCTAGGTTGTATCTTCTCATTTCTGCAGCAATTTGGAAGGCTCTCCCGGTGTCCCACATTGTACGAACATTCCATGTACCTAAATAAATGGTCGCTCTGGTTGTCAGAAGGGGCATCGGCCTCGTAACTTCCGAAGGAATTCGGCTTTCATCATGAGGCGTCATAATTCTTCTAAATGAAGACCTTCTGACTCCCAGGGCAGAGTTTAAAAGGTTTGAATAATTTTTTCTGGTTAGCGTTTTTTTAGCGAGTTAGTTTTCTACGGGATGGGGACGCTAACCCCATGCCCAACCCTCCTCCTTTATCCGGGCTTGGGACCGGCAGTAGCCCCCGGAGGGACTCCAGGCGGAGTTATTTGTTCATCAGATAGTTCCAAAATAGACCTTAAGAGCAAGCTCTTCATATTTTTGTTCAAAAAGTCCAAAAGTACTTGGGTTATTGAAAGCTTTGTTAGAATGCTTCCATTTTAGTTATTAACCTTGTGGAGTTGATTTCCCCAGTTTGATCGAACTATGTGAATTGCCCTGGCTAGTATGGTGAGTTTTCTCTCACTAGTTTAGCACACATGAATTTTGTAGCGTATTCATCCACATAATGATACGAGTGTAAAACCTACTCTATGGGGAGATATACATATTCAGACCTGATCCAAACTTATGATATGAGAACGGAAGTGTATAACTTATTTTATAGATCATACAGAGATCCAAACACCTCACTTCCGATAGGAGATTCCAAGAGTTAGTCACATGGTGGGAAATACTGTATTCCTCAGAATATGGGCTTTTAAGATTGCTTGCTTTGTCATCTAAGTCCTCTTGTCTTTCGGTCTTTGGTAGTAAGGATAGGTCAGTCGACCCATGTTAATCCTTACAGTTTGTAGTACTGTAAAGATCAAGTCTCGCTTCGAATGTATCAAAAAGATGGTGATATTACGTGTTCTGATAGAGAATTCCAGTTATTTAGCATTCGGAAGGAACAGTAAATACTCCCGGCTCAAATTCATTTAGTATCATGGACGCCACAGTCGAGTCGCCCAATAATTTGCAGAAAGATGCTTCAGATATTTCCACTCCTGGAGCCAAGCATCTCCGAACTTGATCGGTTACTTGCCTTACTTGATGTTTACACGAGATTTGAATATTTTAAACATTTACAGTGCTCGATGTCTTAGTTTCAACCATACTGAGGTTTTGTTAGGTGTAATGGGCACCCTTTTCGTCCATCTGTAAATGTCAATCTTAAAACATCCTGCTTCAAAGCTTCTAGCTGGACCTTAGGGTAAACCATTGTAATTTAGAACTAACAGCAATAACCCACAAACTTTGTGTGTGGTTTCACTTTTGTGTTCAGGCCACACGAAAACAGCTGGATTGGTAACTTTTAGTCATGTCTAGCAATGCACCGTTATTTCCCGCGACATTTGCATGTTTCGATGGCATTGGCGTAATTTTGCACTGAGGATTTGATGACACTTGAAAGTTCGTTGATATGAAAATGAATAACGATGTATCTAGCACATATATACATATATTTGTAAAGAAAACCTGCTATCTATTCCCACATTGCGGTTTTTCTTTGGTCGAAATGCTTGTTTACTGGTTTTACTTGGTAAATCGTTAATAGTGTTAGGAATATTACTGGTAATTGTTTCTAAACATCTGGACTAACGCAGACAATCATTTAATTTATGCTAGCACATCACAAAGACACTAAATTTCGAGTGATTTTAATGCACAGAACTGGTGGAGCGTCTGTTCCGTTAAAAAACGTAAACCAAAGATTAGAAGAAACTTTCAGATAATAATAGCACAACCCTCTATTATTTTGATGCCTGGTCTACGCTTGAACCGCTCCACGTAGGTTACATTAATCTCAAAATGTAAATGCTGTATGAATGATCGCTTCTTTAGAATGCAAAGAACTTCCTACGTTATCTAAGCCTTCTTATCTTACCACTCGAAGTAAGTATCAACACATGCTAAGTGTACAGACCAACTTATTTCAGTTCTATACAATTTTTATAGTCTCTTAAGGGAAAGCTCAAAGATTATAGGTACCGGAAATCCTTGCCTGTAAGTTTTAAGGATAAAGTATTTAGGGAATAAACTAAATTAACCTCGATTTTTTAAAATCAAATTATAGAGGCAAGTAATTTGGACTCACACCGTACCCCCCTCCGAGTATAATTATTTGGCTTCGTACTGAACGACTGATAGGTGAGATTTTAGTCGAGTTTTATAACCATAAGGATAAAATCTATTGCATCTCTGAATAGCCTAGGATGAGGTATCAATGTGAGTGTTCTTTATATCAACATTCCTATTGATAAGACTCAAAATCTTCATACACTGAGATGATTAATGGTAATAGTAGTAGTACCGCACTGGCCATTGCTTTGTAATTTTCTACTTATCTATATAAATATGTCAGCACTTTCCGCAACGAATCCGGTATTGAGAAGTTTGACAAAGTTTATTGCTTTCCCATGATATCCTGGTGACATATCTCGTCACTGTTCAATCGCAAATTTTTATAGTTCCACAAATTGTTTCAGGTTTTTTGGATAAACAAGTTGCTACTCATCTTGTTGGTGACCTTCCATGGCGCTTCATTAATATATGGAGCTCATTCTTGGACGCCTACTCACCCATCATCTATCTCTAACTCATCCTTAATCGATGATCGTGATGCAGATCCTTTTCGGTTAAGTTATATCAAAGTGGGGTTGGCAGCAGCTTTTTTTTTCACTGTACTTGTTTCGTGTGGTCTGCCAGTTTTATTGATAAACTACCTGAAAGAACAAAATAGTCTACCATTGTTCAATAACAATCGAAGATTTCATTTGAGTAAAGTGCAACATAGTGGGTCAGACCAAGTTAAAGTAGAAAATAGGGATGATGACATTGGATTTCAATACTGTGATCTAAATTTATCTCCACCTTCAGGAAGGAGTCCTGTAAATGTTTCTAGTGGTGAAGTGTATGCAGATAACAATGTTTCATGGAACCGAGCGCCGTTTCAACAACAAACTTCGGTGGAATCTGAAAGTTTATCCACTTGTCAAAGCCCTAATCCTGCATTAATTAACGGAGACCAGTTTGAAAACAGAGATTTACTTACTGGTCAGGTGGTCCATAATGAGCGAAACTGGGCCAGTTCATTTAGGATTCAAGATCGAATACGTGGTCGTAATTTAAGTGATCACTCTATTATACAGAATCGAAGAGATCATCAGAAACAAGAGAAACAAATGTCATCTCGAAAAGTTTGTCTTTCATCAGGAACAACGCGTAAAGAAGCATTACAAGCTTGGTTTAGTCGGTGTAATTGTTTTGCCGCTGGAGTATTCTTATCTTCAGGTAAGCCTACACAAAATATTTGCTTTTTTCTATGAGTTGCTCTGTCGTGTTACCATGAATACGAATTCGGTTATTTTTTAGGTATACGGAAAATGCAGTTAAAATTCCAAATGTCATATGGTAGACCAAAGTGTGGAACCTAACTGCCGATTTATTAAGTTAATTTGTGTAAACCTTGATACTTGTGAAGCACTGAATAAATCCCAACTAATTACTAAGGTCTTTTTATATATACAGAATATAGGTTACACAGTACTACTTCATATTTTGTACATACTAATAAAACCCTATCATACCAATAGTATTAAGTAAGATATTTTTTCATAACTAGTACTGCGGCAATATTCTGGTCATGTTACATGTTATCTACATATCACGAGTAAACTTTTATGTCATAGTTCATACAATATTTTTACTAAAACTCAGTTTGGTGTACTCGGGAGACCATAGAGTAATTATGCGTCTTAATTCTTCTAGAGTTTAGTAAGAAAAAGGGTTTACAAAAACACAGAAAGCAATAATTAATAGAATAGATTTCATAGATTTACACTTACACTCCCAACCATTCAGGAAATAGCATACACGATTGTATTGTTATAGGTGGTTGCAAAACGTATCGTTCTGTCTCAAACCAATCATTAGTATTGTACTTCCAAAGTTTATTTTGTCATTTTGTACATTTCCAAATGAGTTAGACCAAATCTAAGGATTTCTTTCCATGTTATTGTGCATACCGACAGTTTTTTGCCTTGAAATTTCATTTTATCCCAGCTTGTTATGTAATTGATGTGGTCGACTATTGAACAAATAAGTGGTATGTGTTCAACCACCATTAGTTGGTACACGTCATTGCATCACTTAGTTGAAGTTCTCAACGACCTCCGAAATTGCTTAACTGCATCCATACTTAATACCCCTGCCAAAAAATTAAAAGCACGAAACACTGGTTGTTGTCCTTAGCAGTGACTAAATGGTTCAAAATGAGTTGTTACCACATGTAAAACAATAATCTGTTCATGTTATTGGCGAAATCACATGTAACTCTCACTAGTTTATATGATATCAGAGAAGTTCACACTGTTAATACTTACACGTCGGAATACATCAAACATATGTAATTTCTCACATTTTCAAATTTATTAAGGTTTATTTTACATGGTTAGCTTTTCTGGACGATTTTCACTTCAGTTCAAAAGTTCTGGTTTGTGTAGATTGTTAATGATGTTTAGTTTAACAATGCTCTTTTATCTTAAGGTATTTAAAGTTTTGTTTAGAAAATCACGAGTCTAAATAAGTAACCTACCATTTTCATTTCTAATTACCCATCTTTATTCATGTTTGTTTTACAATTACTGAAGTGTTACGGTTTAAATCTATTTACTTTTTTATGTAATGTGGAGATTTAGTGTCACTAATAACTAACCCGGTTGTTTCGCTTAGAAGCGGTCTCAGTGTTGCCGGTCTACTCACTCTTTGTCCTCCATCCAATCCTAAGTCTCGAAATCTTATTCTTTTCTCCTTTATATACACAATGTTTTCCTACTATTATTGATGCTGTTACTACTTCTACCATTCTAGGATTTGTCTTCATAATTTCATTTCGCTGTGTTAATGTGGTGCGGCAACTTAACCTGGTGTACATATTGATCGGCTTCTAGGTTGTATATTATTGACACCAATTTTTATTCTAAGGTCGCTTAATAGATATAAAGACGATCATTTTCATTTACCAATTACTTAACAGTAAACTGCAGAATGTTTTTTTTTCTGTGTGTATACAGTATTAAGCTACTCATTACATTGAATATTTAATTTGTAGAACGAAATAAATGACTTAAATATTTTGAAAGGACTTATATGATGGGCTGCACTTACGCCTGTTACCCGTCGTGGAGGAGCGTATGCCGCCCAACAGGATTCTCTATCGAACTCTGTTCTGGCCAATCCTTTCCAGTTACTATTTACCATTTTCATATCTGCTTCCCATTCCCGATGCAGTGCGTTCTTTGGTCTTGCTCTTTTCTGCTTCCCTTCAGGATTCCAAGTTAATACCTCGTGACTCAGTCTGGTGTTTTCCACAATGTATGTCCTATCCACTTCCAGCGTCTTTTCCTATCTTCCTCTTCAGCTCGAACCTGGTTTGTTCTCTCCCACAGTAGGTTGTTGCTGATGGCATCCGGTCAACGGACATTCAATACCTTGTGTAAACAATTGTTTATAAATACCTGTACTTATTTGATGATGGTTGTAGTAGTTCTCTAAGTTTCAGCTCCGTACAATAGAACTGTCTTGACGTTCATGTTGAACATTCGGACTTTGATGTTGACTGACAGACAGTTGTTTTGGGTTCCATGCGTTTTTCAACTGTAGGAATGCTGTTGTTGCTTTGCCAATCCTTTGACGCTCGACAGTGTGTATAGGAGAACCTTACGGAACCTTCGACACTGTGGTGTTAGTAGCTGATATGGAATTCATACGACGGAATATACTGCAAAGTCATCCATAGAGGACAGCTAACAGATGCATTGCAAGTGAGGATGGGAGTCAGGAAAGTTTTCTTACTCTCCCCCTTCCTTTTTCTTCTGGTGGTTGGCTGGATTTTGAAGACCTCGACACCTGAGGGGAAGCGCATAATACAATTGACAACTTGGATGCAACTAGACGATGACCTAGCTCTTCTATCCCAGGGCTGTACTTACACTGATTTGAACAAAATTCCCATCAGATCACTCATAGGCTTTCCACCAGTGTAGTACATTAGAAAATTTCCATTAATAATTTTACTTTTATGAATGTCATGTTTGTATTAGTTTCGACTTTGGAATAATTCATTGGATCACTTAGTATCTATTAATATCTGGGTGAGGCTAGTTGTATGCTTTTGACTGAGTAATTCAGAAAAAATTATATCAAAACTTTGTAAATAATATTCACAACATATAATTCAATATTTTTAGAATTCTAAGGATTATGAATGGAAATACCTTATTAAAAAAATACTATACACGAAAGTTTACTAAAAAACATACTAAATACTTATTTAATTTGGTTTGCATATGCAGCCTTATGTCATTACCTCTATAAATACATTTCTCTAGTGTTGCTCGTCTTTCTCCTTTGAGTCTATAGCCTGGTGGTCTAGTTCAGAAGGTAGTATAAGAATGTTAGGAGGTGCAATTTTACGACAAATGGTGACCAAAATTAGGTTGGTACTCCACTGGTTCCATCGGGGTTTCAAAGCCAATTTATACCATTCGTCTGAAATCAGTATTCAGAAACTTCTAGGTAGACCCTCCGCATCGACTAAACCAGTTTTAGTGCCAGAATTTTATTTGAAACTTTATCAGATATAGCTCTGAATAAAAACCAGTGGCATTCAGTGTAGTTTTTATTGTTCTTCATAAAGTACAGCTTAACACATTATCTGATGTATCCTCCCATTCAATAGTTGTAAAACGTTTTCCTCTACTATTTCTCCTCAGTATTATAATTCTGTCATGTGTGGCTCGTTTTTCAAGTGTTCTGTTGTATCGGAGTTTTTGTGTTCTAAATAAAATCTTATAGAAAGGATATTTTCCAGTTGCTAAGTCAATCACACGTTACAACAGTGGCGATAGACAATCAGAAAACAATGTTAGTTGGTCCATACTGGGAGTTTCAACAGCAGATGAAACCGACGAAAGCTGTGACGGAATGTCTATATGTCATGACATTAAGTTAGCCTGTTGTATCCTGCACTACATCACCAACTGAACAAGGCGTTAATACTATACCTAAATTTTTCTTTGATCCAGTTGTTAATATTACTTAATAATATAATCGTATATATATTTTTGGTGGAGTTTTGTTCTCTGAGCTGGATGGTTTGGTCGTGGAGCTTTCATCGTTCTTCTGAACGACATCATCAGCACAAACTTCAGATAGAAGTGAAGTGTTTGAATTTTACCATATGTGTCTCAAAGCTTGTTCTGTGCACCTCGACGTTGATTGGTTCTTATTGACCTTAAATTTGTCGTTGTTTACTTCTTTGTTTAAGGTCAATAAGAACCAATCAACGTCGAGGTGCACAGAACAAGCTTTGAAACACATATGGAGAAATTCAAACACTTCACTTCTATCTGAAGTTTGTGCTGATGATGTCGTTCAGAAGAACGATGAAAGCTCCACGACCAAACCATCCAGCTCAGAGAACAAAACTCCACCAAAATCATCCACCTGAGCTACAAATCTTCTCCACCATCTCAATCGTATATATATATTCTGAAAATAATAGTTACAGAATTCATGCAAGTTTACAGGAATGGTCAGCTTGATTCATGTTTTAAATGTTTCGAAGATTTATTCCGTGTTGAATTTGTTGACCGAAATAACACACGAAAAGTACGACTACTACTTTGCAGACTTCGTGTCAGAGAAAGTAACAAGTATTCAAACTTTATATTGCCATACTAGTCACAGGATCGATACAGTAATGACATTGTCCCAGAATTTTGAAAAGCAGTCTTCAATTTTTAATACGTAATATCATTGTGTAAAGCTGATCAAACAAAAACTGGTGACTTTGCCTCTGATTCAGGTATTAATAACAGGATGTATGCGCTTTGAGCCACGGTTGCTTGCAAATGACCTATTCAAGCGTCTTATTTTTGCCTGTGAACTGTAATTGCTAAGAGATGCTGATATCCGTCCACATCTGTGTAAAGGTGAGCAAACCTTCTTGATAACGATACAGATAGCTACTGAGAGATTTTAGCTACTGCTACGCTCGAAACATGACACAAAAGTGTTGCATCAACCGAAACGACCCATTGCAGTACACGCGGTCTTAACTTCAAGATAATCACTCATCCACCCTCACTCCGCAAATGAACAACGGGAAAACACCTCCATTAACATGTTGGGACTGCGGCAGATGGCGTTCCGCCAATTTTTGTCACCTGTTTGTTTCACTGTAGCATTAATATTTTTCATTCGCTTAGCCAAGCACAATTTGGAAAAAAATAAGTGTTAGAAAAATTGGGAACACTCATTATAAACTTTTGTATTCAATTACATTTATGTGTTTATTTTTTTAAAAAGGTTTTATGGAACTTTATCCCGACACTGAAGAAGCTATAGCAGAGGCAAAAATTCAGTTACATATTAAATCTGAATTCCCATTCGCTCCATTTTTAACTCTTGTTGGATTCTTTCTGGTTTTAAGCATTGAACAAATTATATGGACAACAAAATCAAATCAATGGACATGTTGTTCGAGAAGAAATCTTAACACTAGTCAAGCATTACATCGTGATTCATTACATTCGAATGAAAATGATTATAATTTTGAAAGTAATGGAAATTTTTACCTTGATGACAATAATAGCAATAACAATGTAAAACATAATGAGATTACTGCAAATCACAAATTATCCTTGGAGGACTCACAACAGAATAACATTGGATATTTATCATCTAAACTTATGAAAAGTAATGCCAAGAGGCCATCGAAATTATCCAATGCAACAAATACTTCAGAATTGACTGCAGTCGATTGTTCACCTACATCATCTACTCATTCTGGGAATGATTTTCTTCTAGAATCCAATATTACAAGAAACCACGTCGAACATGCTGGCCACTGTCATGATGATAATAATGCTCGTCATCATTCTCATACTCATGATATTAAATTTGATACTAGCTCCTTTGGATCAGTGTTACGTATTGTTCTACTTTTATGCGCTATGTCTGTACATTCAATATTTGAAGGTTTAGCAGTTGGTCTTCAACCTACAACACAACGTACTCTTGCCTTATTCACTGCTATTTTATTACATAAAATTATCATAGCTATTGGAATTGGTGTAAATTTAGCTACGAATTTAAATCAACCGCCAACATCTTCAGGTTCTTCATTTCCATCTCGATCCTCCTATTGTCGTCTTTTTATGTATCAATCTATTGGAACATTAATTTTAGCTTGTTCATCACCATTCGGTGTTCTTGTTGGTTGTGGTTTAATGCAACAAAAACAATCACCAATATTGACAATGTCAACTGCTGTACTTCAAGGTTTAGCTTGTGGAACATTTTTCTTTGTAGTATTCTGTGAATTATTACCAGTTGAATTTAAAGAAGGTGTCAAAGATAGGATGGGAAAGTTTTTTTTCTTATTACTTGGATTTGCAGTAGTTGCATTATATGCTTTTTTAATGCCTGAATAAACATTGTTTATTCATTGTATGAATTTATTCTTTGTTACTTTTTAAAAGAAAATTACTTCGCGCCCAATTTTATGAACCATTTATAATCAATTAAATTTATAGTCCTTATCAGTTGTGTATACGTTTCTTTTATTATTTTCTTTTTTTTCATTACTTCTTTTTAGTTTGGTTGTTCTTCTCTTAGTTGTATGTCAAAATCAAATTAAATGATAATAAATTCTACTTTAAGTTGGATAATTATTTTTGAACTATAACTTTCTTCATTTGGTATTGTTTTGCTTGTATCTTCCCATTGAGGTTTAAGACTGCAATTGATCAGTCTGTTAGCCACTATCCATCTTTGCTTGTAACTTTCTTCGCTACAAACTTTCTCTCTTTAATTGTCTAAATTTCTTTTTATAAATGAATTCATTATCTCCATCTATTACTTCTAATTTATTTATGTATCTGTCTAACTAGGTACATTATTTCTTTTCTTTCACATAAAATTTTAATTGATCAGTTTCTGTGCATATTTATTTTCGATAGTTTGCTTTATATATACATGATCTCTGGTAATTTTTTTTCTGAAGTACAATTCAAAGTACTGCTTTCGGTGTCTGTTTTTTTTATCGGGATATGTTTCTCCTGTTGGAGTTTGATTATTTATTTGTGTGTTTGTGAATATCTGGAATAAATAGAACATCTGATTTGAAAGAAAGTTGTGTTTATCCTTTGATAATTATTTTTGAAATGACATTAGTCTATGTAGTAGTCACACTAATTAATATTTTTTTGGCCTTTGCCAACTTGAGGGATATTCGTCTACCAACCAGAGGACAAGCTTACTGCGCAACAGTATGCCTCATTCTTCTTTATGGATGTGAAACATTGCCATTAAGAATAGAGGATTTCAGTAGGTTAATAATAATCAATCGTATGTGTCTTCGATGCATCCTTCATGCACTTTGGGAGCACTGAATGAACAACACCAAGGTTAGGCGTTCGATATGAGGTAAATATTGCAAACTGGTTGATGAAGTAGTAAATCTTTATCGACTGAGGTGACTGGGATACGTCAAATATGCCCAACCACCGCCCACCTCGATAAGGGATGTCTGATACTTGAGTAGGTTGGAAGAAAGTTGTTGGAGGCCAACTAGTTAACAAAATCAATGACAATTGGGATGAGGCGTGTTAACAGGTGAAGACTACCCAGTTGGGGTCCACGTGATTATCGCAACAGGTGGTTAGAAACTTTGGGTGATATGACGCAGAATCATCCTAAATGGCGCAAATGCATCAATTCCTTGTCTCCCTCTAGAACCTGAGTCTTGAAATTCCACTTTCTCTATACCTAGTCTTTTCTACTACTACTGACACTGTCACTGCTACTTTTCTGGGATTTATCTTGAAATAATTTTATCTCGATTGGCTGATATGTTATGGCAACTTAAACCGATGCACATGTTTCAGGTTCTATGTTACGTATAACACTGATATTCTGTTAGCAGTTCATCAAAGTAATCTAGGTATTGGGTAGTATTTTACCGTAGTTAAGATTTAACTGATTAACTTTCAGCTTATATAGATTGATATATAAGACTTCAATCATTCAAACCAAACGGCTATGATCACTTAATTGAAAAGACTAGAAATAACTGCTAAGTGACTTGACTATCAGGTCATCTAACTTAGTAGTCGCGTTGTAGCATGTTCGATATTATTCTGCCAACACTTAGTACTAAGGAGTGTGATTTTGGATTCTAAGAAGTGATCATCTAGTGTAGGGTCATTCTCTGAAATGAAATAATCTTTATAATCAGTCAAAAATCAAAAGAGTAATATAGTCTGGATAAACTTGTAAGTTACAAACTATAAACACAAAATAACAGGACGATGTGGATAAATAATTGAAATCCAACTGAAAAACATTGCACACGAGTTTCGTTCATAAATTAGACCTTCATGGAATCGGGGTAAGAGGAGATAAGGATAATAATAAGAGTAATTTACTTGAACGTAAACTCTTATATAGTTGATTTGGGAATATGTGACTCGACAGACATGATTTATCGAAGTTAGATAAACTTGTCAACCTTAACTGTAAAATTGTATCGGAACGCATGAAACTGAACTTCTATAAATCTTAATGGAATCATTTTTAAAGATAACTTCACAACTAATTTGCACCAATGCAAATTTTGTGTTTATGTTATTAAATTAAAAATGAAGAATTCACGCTTGAAACCATTTTTTCAACGTATACTACATATATCTCTATACACAAAAAAATCATGATATTTGATTTGTATTGGTATAAATCCAGAACAAAAGTATAATCGGTAAACTATATTACTTCATTTATTATATGAAATACATACTTATAGTGTTTGGATGGAATTTCGGACAATAGTTCATTGCAGCACACAACTGTTTACAACTTAATTTTCACAAACGTTTCATAGGTGTTTATAATTCCCTTCCAATTATTGTAATATATTTTTTAACTAAGTTAAATAATTAATAAATAATCTATTTTTCATACTTACATCGTTATATTACAACATGTGTTTTCAACTTCCATTGGATATGTGTATGTCGTCTGTGTGCTTAAAGTATTCAACGTTCAATCGTTAGATTGCAGGTAGAAGAATCTTTCACATCTTCATCTGTTTCTGCAACCAGATAGTCTTCATTCAAAGCCGAATACGTAATTTTGAATTTGATGAATAAATTACAATAATTCCTAAATTCATTTGGTTTTTTTCGTTGGTAATTTAGCACCTCTATGTGTGTTCCAGTAAATGTTAAGAAAAATCTCATCATTAATGTTGAAAATCTGTTTATACTTGATATATTTCAAAATTATGGGACGTCTAGTAAACTGCCCTGTTTCATGTGCTATTTAGACAAAAAATAGTATTGTTTGTATTGCTTGTTACTTTCTATAAAGCAAATATTCATTTTCACTATTTTATGATTATTACTGCCCATTATATCCAGTAATTAAATTATCTAAGTTATTTTTAAAAATAAACCAGGAAAATAGGTCTACTACTTTTTTGTATGATAATATTGTGGTGTGTGCTACTTATATTGACATAAGTAGTATATGATGTTAGTCGTGAACAGAAGGTCTGGCAGCAAAGAGACAAGAGGATCGAACAGTAAAGAATGGAAACAAAATGCAATTTGTATGAAAATTCAAGAACAATGAAGTCTGAGTCATTTTGAGACAACTGGTGGACATTTTGCAAATTAAGCGTTTACTTTATGATTGTTAGATTTTATTAACAAGTCCTGTAATTTAGTGTTAAGTACATTCGATTGTCCCCGCCCATGTTCTGTTCACTACGGTATTACTGACTGCGAATGATGTGATGAAAGGCGCAAGATTAGCATTATCAACTAGGAAGCAGTGAATAGTTGTTTCATCCTAGTTTGTATCTCGTCAACTGTACACACAAACCTCCCACTTACTAATAGTTGTTCCACCCCCAGTGACTTGCTTTGGAATACGTTTCTGATTTGCTAGTGAAGAGTTGTAGCTAGTGGTGTTTCAGAATGTCGAGTATCAGCCAGTTATCCACCGACGATATTTGTCGGTTGTTACATTGTAATGGCTTAGCTTCGTTAATCATTCACCTTGGTAACCGTTGCTATATAAATGCCAACAGTGTTTGAAACCAAAAGGCAATAAGAAGCGGTGACTACAGTTCTTTAGCGGACAGCACGGGTAACAAAGCTACAAGCACATCGAGCAAGTTTGAAGCAGAAAGGCGAACGGGTGTATGCGAACCAATACAGATGCAAATTTATAGTCAAGCCGAATAAGAAGCAGCTAGGCAAGGCAAAGGCTAATAATAGGATTCGAGTACATATATACATTATAAAGTGAATAACTCATCGAGCGATATTTAAGATATTAACATTTAAGCTAGAGAGATATGTGCGTAGGCTATCATGTGATCAATCGTACACGTTTATGCATCAAGATAGTGATCATAATAACACAAAGAAATATGCGAATTGTTATGTTCGAATAACATTGTCTGTTAAGTAATTTAATAAAATGGCTTAACAAAAATTAGCCATAATTGAAATTGATTATAGGGGAGTTGCTATAACACTATACTGCAAATAGATAGAGGACTTGGTAGTCCTACTATGATTCCGTTGCTACGCAATCTGAAGGGCCTGGGTGAATCATATATAGACAATACAGTGGGGTCCTAGATTAGAACGAAATGATTTTCTACTACTTATATCTTAATCATTCTCTAGCTAATGTTAGTCTATTACGAAAACGATTTTTAAATAGGATTGATCTCCACAAGCCTATCACCTTAAAAATGAGTAGAATGACTTTATGCATAGTTTGACTTACTGATGATTTATAACTTCACTTGATACAAAATATATAAAAAAGCATGACTGTTTTATCCTTACTGTATCAGCTGACGATCAAACATTTTTCTAACAGTTAATATCTCCACAATACCTACTTACGATTGAACACAGGGTTGAGCGTATTCCCTGAAGGTCTCATGAATAACACTGTATCATTAGGTTATTGAGTAAATATATATGATGGTTTATATTTCCAAGTTTAGTCATTTGACGATGTAACATGATTAAAGTAGTCCAAAATGATGGTAAAATTTATTTCCCAGTTGAAGCGAATGCTGTAAAAGAATTATTGTGTAATTCCAAATTTTTACTATTGATTACTTCTTACTGCAATTCTTTTTAAAACTAAATATTTCATTTGGGTCTGTTGTGAGATAGCAACTCACTGAAGACAATGGTGGACGGTGGCTCAATTTTGTGGATTAGTCGGATGCTGTCTCAGTAGTCTAGAGGTCAAGCACCCGCGCGCGAGACCAAAGGTCCTGTGTTTGAGTCCCGCGAGTGAGGTCGTGGATGCTCACTGCTGAGGAGTTCCACACTGGGACGAAACGGTCGTACAGTGCTTCCGGGTTTTCTATGGTCTAGTTTTAATTACACTCATGAACTCAACTATAAGAACTTTTGTTGGTATTTCGCTAAAAGTTTAAGAGTAAAAGTATAAAACGACTACAGATGATCCAGTTTGTTGATATAATATATAATCTTGAGTTTCGAGTAGTCATCTGAATACATTTAAAACTATTATCGCTTGTATCAAGCTTACTTCTTATCTGGTTCTATGTCAATATTAAACAAGGTATCAGTTAGTTGTTGAAAAATATACAGTCCTATGTAAGAAGAAAAATAAAGTTTTCTGGTCTTAAAAATGTACCAGATTCTGTTTTACTGATAAGTTCAGAATAAGTTGACTTTATGAGTGATTGTGTTTCTAATCGAATATATATACATAGATGGTTTGTCGTAAGGTAATTAGGATCGTTTTGTACTTCAATGCGTACCGACTTCTATAGATCATAAACCAAACTGTAACTCTTAAGTTAGCCGATGTGACAGTTTATTGTGGTTAGTCTTGTGGGCTTCGTTTGTGGAACGTAAACATTTTCAAATTAATTCAAAAGACAAAAAGAATATAGTGTTATAGTATCTCCTCTGCACTTCAGTCTGTATACTTTTAATTTTGTTAAGCCTTTCAATTTACTTATTTAACAGGCAGTATCATTCAGTCAGTAACAATATGTTTATGTCTTTGTATTATTATGATCACGTCGGTATTAGCACGTATGCTTGGTCACGTTTTACAG